GGGCCGGGTCTGGGGGTGTCCAGGCCAGGAGAGGGGGGCCTGGAAGAGACCAATTAGTCAAATGGCTGCAATTGGCCATTTGGAAGCAATTAACAGGGTGTCTATTACCATATTATGCCCCCATCCCCTGCATGCTCTGCTAGGATCTGCTCTGTATGAGGAAGCCCAGCCCAGGGAGACTGCAATAGAGGCCCAGCTCTGGCCCAGCATAGCACATTCGCAGGCTCCCTGGGGGGTGGGGGGGCATCTAAGGCCAAGAAGTCTGGGGACTTCCAAGGCCAAGAAGGCAGGTGATTAGACATGCAAGAAAAACCTCACTGGACAAGAGAGGGCTGTAGGAAGCAGGCTAGGGTTATGAGCAGGAGGTACAAGCCCACCTACACCAAGGCCTCCATCACAGGGATGAGCTGGGGTGGGGTCTGGGGTAGGGGTGAAGGCAGTTCTTTCCACCTATAGGGTGGAGGGTGGGTAGAAGGACCCATGCACACTTGCATAGGGCCCAGAGGAAGCCCCTGGGCCTGGAGTGTAGGTGCCTTAGGGACAATTGAGGAATAGGCCAAAGTCAGCCAGCACCACAGGGAGGGCCAGATCATCTGCTGGGTCACTGAAGTCCTTTACTCTCAAAGGCACCTGAGGTCCCTGGAGTGGCACACTGATGGTGGCAGTGGCAGGAATCTTGGGAGGAGTTGCTCTACTGAGTTTCTGACCTGGGCTTAGAATTACATATACCAGGAAGTCAATGTCTCAGGGTTACACTGTATGGGCCAGCCAACATGTCAAGGAAATGCAAGCCCATTCATTCACCACAGCAGGGTATTCTGGAGAGCTACAGTGCATTGATTGGCTGTCCAGAAGGAGACACAGCAAAGAACACACCCACCAGGAAATGTGGGGGTTCAGGCATGGAGCAGGAGGGAAGCTCTGAGCCCAGGTTCTCCAATGGGATTCCTCTGGTTCCTCCCAGACACCAACAAAGGAAAACATCACACCAGTCCCTCCAGTTCCCCCACACTCTCTCTTTCCCTCTTTGTATGTATATATGTGTGTGTTTAAGATTTATTTATTTATTTTATTTATTTTTATGTGTATGGGTTTTTTTGTTTTGTTTTTTGTTTTTTTGTTTTTTTTGTTTTTTTGTTTTTTTTTTTTTTTGCTTGCATGTAGGTTTTTGTACAGATATATGACTGGTGTCTTCAGAGTCCAGAAGATCTCTTAGAACCAGAGTTACAGACATTTAAGAGCTACCATGTGGATGCTGGGAACTGAACACAGGTTCTCTGCAAGACCAGCCAGCCAGTGATCTTAACCAATGAGCCATCTCTGCAGACCCTTTCATAGCTTTGTTTGTTTGTTTTTAAGACAGGGTCTCAAAGCCGAGACTGGCTTCAAATCTGCTTTGTGGCAAGCCTTGAACTCCAGGATCATCCTGCCCACATGAGTGCTGAGATGGCAGGCTTATGCCAGCACATCTGGCTTCAGGGCTCCTCTTCTCCAGGCACAGGGCAGTGGCTGGCTCCAGGAGCTGTGCTATAGGCATTCAGGGAAGAGATGCCCTCCTGATTCTTCTGGGCTATCTTAGGAGGCTGGGCAGCCAGCATGTGCCAGCCCAGAGCTGGTCATGAAGACACAGGGCAAATCGCCCTGCTTACCCATTGGTCCTGACAATCGACCCTGTCCCCTATAAAGCAGGTTCCATCAATGGCTGGCTCCAGGGCTTTAGCAATTCTGTGGCTCAGACTGCTCAAGGGTTCTCAGGAGCCAGCCCTGTGGCAGAGACCCTGCTAGCCAGGACAGAGGTTCTGGGAGACCACAGGGTGCTCAGCTGTGTGGGACTCAGCATGCTGGAGAGAGCTCCCTGAGGACCTGCTGTCCTGTATATAAGGTCTCAGTGTTAAAAATGCCTCAGTGTGTGCTATTAACAGCTTCTGTGCCATGGAGGTTCCCCAAAACTTCATAGCATCTCACATCATCAGGGACCTCCCACTTGACTCTTCCAAGAGCTCAGGATCAACTTGGGAGGTAATGCTGTGTCCCAGGCCACTGGGCCCTGGGGGTTAGTAACTCATCCAAGAATGCCTATATGAGGGTAGTTTCTGGCCAGAGGACTGCTGGAAGCACAGGCCACAGAAGTGGGGTGGGACCTTTTCTGACACCATGGTAAGTCCTTCTCTGAGTCCCCTAGGAGATAGGGCACTGAAGTCAATAGCCCAGGACCCAGGAAGCTGTTCCCTGAACCTAGACTCCTACTCAGTCTGCCAGGTGAGTATGCTAGGGTCCTTTGTGGCATCTTCTCCAGCTTTTCTTACTTTGTCCCATCGGCATCTAGGCGTTTCTCTACATTTCATCTCTTTCTCTTCTAGTGGATCTGTCACCTGCTTCCCATCCCCATTTCCATCTCTCCCTGTGTCTCCAGGGCTCTAGGGATCTCTGACGCTATTGTCCCTGATCCTTATCTGCCCAGTCGGCTCTCTAGAACACTGTTGAAACAGACCACTCCTGCTCAAGGTGGTCGAACTTCACTTGGTGCCTTTCGGTCAGTTAGGAAACTACAAGATATAGCGTCCCAGGGGCCTTGGACCACAAGACTCGGCAGTTGAGGACAGCTCGGAGGCTCATGTAAGAAGCAGTGACTTGCACAGACCCAACCCCGGGTTCCCCACGCACCGCCCTCCGCAATCGCTCTCGATTAGGCGCCGCCTTTCATGATCGTTTGTCAGCTAGACTTCCCCGCAAGTTGTTTGCGCAGACATCAGTCATCCGCGGTCCCATTGTGCACCCAGGATTGATGTAAGGCGGGAGGGGGTGACAGGGCCTGGGGCGGCTGCCTTTAGGCCTTGCTCTATAATTTTCC